CACTAATGAAAGAGAGGGTCAGGCCGGGCCAGTCCATGGCGTGGTGGTGAAGTTGGCCGGATCCCTCATGTGGCTGACTGCAGTTCAAGTCCCAGACCCGTCGACTTGAGAAACAGGCCAGGCATAGGTGTGTGCACTCAGACCCCCAAAGGAGGGGGAAACGGAGAAGGAAGTGCAGTGTGACCCTTCCCTAGGGGGTACGTTCTCACTTTCCAACTTGCTCTGGCAAGTGCATGCACCCTCCAGCGATTTTTAAAAATTAAAAACCAGCCAGCTTATATGTATGACACAAGCTAGACTTTGGAACAGAGATTTCCAAGGATAAAGACACTGCATGAAGTCAGTTCTTCGACAGGACACAATGCTCAATGCGCGTGTAGCGAAAGCCAGCCGTGGGACGGGCACAATTAAGACTGACAGGACGAAGGAAGAGTTCAAAAGCGCTGTTCCTCGACGGAACGAGTGCCCGGAAAATCGGGTGGGCGTGGGCGGCTCCGAAAACGCCGTCAGCCAGCTTAATCCGACTGATGTTCAGAGACCACTCCACCCAACAACACAACACAAGAACATTCATTCTTCTTGAGTGCTTGTCACTTCCCCAAGATAGACCATACTTTGGGGCCATAAAACAAATCTCAACAAATTTAAAATAATTGAAATCATACAAAGTATGTTCTCTCATCATAATGAAATTAAACTATAAATCAATAACAGAAAGATATTCCCCACATGCTTGGAAATCAAACAACGCACATAGAAATAACTTACGGTTCAAAGAAAAACCATGAGAAAAGTTAGAAATACTTAAGTAAATGAAAATTGAAGTACAATAGGTCAAAATTCATGGGATGTAGAGTTTTAAAGCCATGCTTAGAGAAAACCTTGGTAACCTTGTTTAGGTAACAGTTTCTAAACAGGACAAAAAGCACATTCCATAGAAGGGGGAAAAAAACCTGATAAATTGGCTCTTAGTAAAATTAAAAATTTCTGCTCTTCAAAAGGCACTAGCAAGAAAATGGAAGACAACATGCAGGTTGGAAGAACACGTTTGCAGAACACAGAACTGACAAAGGACTTGTGTCTAGAACAGAGAGGGAACCCGTCCCACTCACCAGTAAGACGAACAAGCTAGTTAAAAATGGGCCACGAGTGAGAACAGAAACGCCATCACAGAAGCAATGTCAGTTGATCGTGTAAAACATTTCAACTTTATTTTTAAAAGGCATCCTGTTATGTGATGTGAAAGAAGCTAGGTACAAAAGACCACGTATTTTATGACCTCATTTACATGAGATTCTGGAAAAGGGAAATGACAGGACAGGGAGCAGTCAGTGTTTCCCGGGGCTGGGACGGGGCTAGAACATCAAATACTAAAAGGCCGGGTCAGACTGGGGGGAGCCTGCTGGTGTGGGGTTAAGGCACTGAGTCCCACATAGCATGTGTGCAGTTCGAGTCTGAGACCCGGCGGCTTCAAAAACACACTGGATGTGTCTGTGCGTGCATGCGTACATGCACCCAAAATCCTGACAGGAGAAGGGGGGATGGCCTTGGCTCCCCTCAGGGAGGAGGCTTTCTCCTTCCTTTCTTTCTCTCTCTCTCTCTCTCCAGTGAGCGCATGGTGTCTCTGGCCAATTACAGAAAGACACAAGGGAACTTTGAAGGCCGGCAGAAGTAGTCTACATCTTACTGTGGGAGTCTTTTTATGTCAAAACTCATCCAACTGTATACCCTTTTTTGCATGAAAATTACTGCTTAATTCACCCAAATGTGATGGCTACGGTGAGGGACAGTGGGTGTGAATGAGAAAGGAGAAGGCCGTCCCAGGAAACCAGGCCTGTGCTGTGGCCCCCGGTGGCCTCCAGGTGCAGGGACAGTGTGTTCCATGGCGGAGAGGCTGGATGCTGCTGGGACCTCATGCTTGGAACCCCTCTTCTGGCATGGGTGTGCTGGGAGCTGGGCCAAGTTCCTTGTGCCATGGACTCAGTTGCTTGGGGACCTCAGGGACTGTCCCCAAGCTTTTTGGGGTTTGCATGTAGATACAGCAAAGAGGGGATTCTATCAGGCTAGTCTTCATATCCGGTCAAGCCCTGCAGGGGAAGGGGCCACAAGGCAACCTGTTTTTTAAGCAAAACAAAACACTTAGGAACATCTCAAATGGAAGAGAGACGGCCGTTATCAGCCTAACGGGATTCCAGCAAAGCACGTGTTGCCAGGAAGCAGCCACCGTCCCAGCTGTGGCCCTTCTGTATTTTTGCAAGCCTTGCACACTTGCTTCCTGAGTGGGACCCTTGGGACCACACCGAGTGAGTGTCGTGTCCGAACTGCCCAGGCCAGACGGGGCACAGGCGTGTGAGCCAAGGCTTGCTGTCCTGGACGGCCCCCCACGGGCACTCACTCACCGGCCTTTTACCCGGGACTTCCACTTCCATAGCCCGGAGTGACGGTGGTCGGTGGTGTTGGCGTGAGGGCCTGGGGTGGGGGCGACTCCAGTCGGATTAAGGGCTGTTTCGCGTTCAGACTGAGCGGGGGCCAGGAGCCACCCCGCTCCCTCTGCGCTCCTTAGGGTGGGTTTTGCTGGGAGAATGTTCTTTCTCAGGACTTCGTCAGTCTTCTCAGTTCTGCTGAGACTTTCTGGGTGCTGCAGTCACACAGCCCTGGGCCCCGGAGCCTGGCTGCTCTCCCAACCTTCACGCAGGCCTCAGCGAGGCTCCTGCAGGCAGCGCCTCGTTCTCTCAGGCCGGCTGGCCAGCCTTGCCCACAGCACCACCTGCACAACCAGGCCTGGGGCCTGCCGGGCACTTTGCACCAACGCTGTGGCTGGGG